GGAAATTATTAGAAAGATTAAATCTACAAGATACATGACTACTTTGGACTTAACGTCTGGCTACTATCAAATAGCTATGAGACCCGAAGACATACATAAAACCGCGTTTATAACAAAATCGGGCACTTATGCATTTTTACGCATGCCCTTTGGGTTGTGTGGGGCCCCATCAACATTCCAGAGAGCTATGGACATTGTTCTAAAGCCTGTCCTAGGAAAATCGACTTTAATCTATCTAGATGATATAATTATAACGAGTAGTACGTTGGAACAACATATTAAAGATCTAGAAGAAGTTTTTAAATTATTAAAAGAGGCCGGTCTTACAATTAACGCCTCAAAATGCAAGTTCGCAACAAAGAACTTAAATACCTGGGTTATAAAATTTCGCAAAAGGGTATAGAAACTCAAGATTCAAAAATAAAAGCAATCAAGAATTTCCCCTCCCTCCCAACACCGCCAAGAAACTTTCTTCTTTCCTTGGGTTATGTTCTTACTATCGGTCATTCATAAAAGATTTCGCTAATATTGTTGAACCACTTGTTAGTAATTAAAAGAAAGAAAAGTAAATTTTACGTGGACAGCGGAAGCAAATACCGCATTTGAAAGATTAAAAGAAGCGCTCATCAATGCCCCTGTTTTGAAATTCCCGGAGGGGGACGAAAACCTGGAAATTGCAGCAGATGCGTCGGACTATGTATGCGGTGGGTGCGGTTCTTATGCAAAATGGCCATCCCTTGGCATTTTTTAGTAAAACGTTGAATCATACACAAAGGAATTATACAGCTACAGAGAGAAACATTAGCCGTATTAATGGCTGTACACAAATTTCGAGTTTATTTCGGCAAAGCGCCAGTAACAGTCTTTTCGGATCATGCGGCTGTTGGTAGACTTTACTCGGGGAAAAACCTAACGCCCAGGTTAATAAGATGGGCTTTAAAACTCCAAGAATATAATCTCATAATTAAATATAAACCGGGTAAGGAAAACAATGTAGCTGACGCACTTTCTCGTATAAAACTGGACGATGAAGGAAATGAACTTAAATGCGCTGTGTTGACTTCAAAAATTTTAGATTCTAGAGATACAATTATTGCTGAATTGAAAGCTGATCCTGAATTTGGAAGTATCTATGCATATTTGAAAGACCCCGAAAGCTTTGAGCACACAGATATCGATGCGATAAGAAATAGAGCAGAAAACTATGAAATAATAGATAATTTATTATTTTATACGAAAACAACAAACGAAAATCTCGAGTACAAACCAGTCATCCCAGCCTCGCTTCGATTAAGCATTTTGAAGGAATTACACGACGCGAAAACAGCGGGTCATTTAGGGGTCAGAAAGACTTTAAAAAGGGTACGCGAGGCGGTATATTTCCCGCAATTATACAAAATAGTAACTGCGTATGTCAGGTCCTGCAATCAATGTCAGTTAATAAATGATATTAATTACAGCCCGGCCGGGTACTTAAATAGCATTCGCGCTACATTTCCGAATGAAATTTTAGGCATAGATCTTCTTGGTCCTTTCCCCCAGAGTGAGTTAAATAAAAATCGTTTTCTTTTAGTAATTGTAGATCATTTTTCAAAATGGACAGAAATTGTTCCACTTAAACGCGCGTCAGCCAAAACAGTCGCAGATGCATTCTTACACAGATACATTTTAAAATACGGTGCACCGATAAAAGTCATTAGCGATAACGGTAAACAATTCGTTAGTCAAATATTTGAAAACATATGCACTGGACTTGGCATACGCCATATCAAAATGGTTCCGTATAGACCACAGGCAAACATAGCAGAAAGAGTTAATAAAAACATTGTAAAAATAATTCGAAGTTATGTTAGCACACATCACAAGCGCTGGGATGGCTACATAAATGAGTTAGCTTATGCTTTAAGAACGGCAAATCACGATACTACGGGAAAAACTCCAGCAGAATTATTTTTAGGACGAAGTTAATTACGCCATTAGATAAATTATTCTTTGTGCAACAAGAGAGAGCAAGAATTTAAAAAAAAGATGTGCAAAAACTTATTGACCAGGCGGTTAAAAGCTCGGATACGGCAAGAAATAGACAAAAGTTTATTATGATAGAAAACGCCGTGAAGCAGATTTTAAAGTTGGGGATAAAGTGTTGAAGCGGAAATTTTCTTTATCAAGTGCCCCAGACAATTTTACTGCAAAGTTAGCTCCAAAATTTGAAGGCCCCTATGTAATTCAGGAAATCAAAGGGAGTCGTATTGTACCTTAAGAACGAGAGAGGGGAAATCTGTAAAGCAAGTCCCGACCAGGTGAAAAAATATTATAATCAAAATGATTTTGAAATCCTTAAAAGTTTCTTGCAGGACTCAAGCGTAAAAGAAGTAGAAGGTCCAGAAGTAACGTCACCCGTTCCACCACCCAAGAAGCAGAGAACTGAAGAGAAACCTAGCCCTTCTACAACCCATGCGACGGTACCGAAAAGAAGAAATGAAAACTTTCAGACTCCAGCATTTAAGAAATACAAGAAAGCAACGCCGCCGCGTAAAGAAACTTTGGTAAAGAGGAAAACACCACTTGCAACGTATCGCAGTAAAAATTCTACATCGAAGAGAACGCTTCCAGGGCCAGAGAGTCAGGTGCAAACAAGGCCGCCGCCGTTCCCGAGAACGAAAAGACAGCAGGAGGAACGAAAAGACCACCACCAACAGAAGAAATTCAAGCATGATTCCAGACCGGAGGACGCCAAGACCAGCCGTCCAGGGGAAAAACGGAAAAGACAGCAACCCGACGACTACCACTCCAAGAGGCCAGCATGCAGAGGGCGAAAAAGAAAACAGTAATGGACGACACTCGGAAGGACACTAAGGAGAACGACTGACGTCGATGAAACCTATAACGTGGGAGCAGTTCTGCCAGAAGAGGATGTCGGAGTTCCAATCATCGAAAACTCAAAGATAAGTTAAAATCTTCTATAATTTTTTTTTTTTCTTTTGTTCCGAAATGTTATGCGTAAATACGAAGTTCTATGTTTTGACGGAAGTCAATTTGTCTCGGTTGAGACTTAGTTTTGTTTTACTTTATTTAGCTAAGGCAAAAGTATTATTTTCTTTAAGTATAAAATCTAAGAACAAGCAGTTTCTGTTGGTCGAAAGACTAATTCTGTTATGTTAAAGCCAAAATTTGGCCGAAGATAAAAATAACTTCGTATTCTTGTATTAATAAGAAATTTAGTTTCAGTGCCGCCAGCTTGGCGAAGAATGAGTAAAGTAAAAATTTATTTTCTCTTATTCATTTTATGGTAAATTGTAAAAATCATATGTATTAGAATTTTGTAAATATACGTAAATACTTGAAAGTTATGTAAAAGTAGAATTTAGTCTAGAAGCATAAAATTTTAGATGCTAAAAGTAAATGCTCAAAAGCAATGAATTCAAATTTAAGTATTAAACTGTAGATAAAATCATGCTTTAGAGCGAAAGCCTGCATGTCTAAAGATGAATGAGGGGGAAGTTAGAATGAATGTGTTTTGTAGGGTTCTCCACCTACACTTGAATTTTAAGAATGTTAAAATAGCTCATCGAGTTTTAGAATGTCGAGTAAGGTGTGTCTATTTGGTCGTTGAATTCTAACAAATCATTGTGGTTAGGGAAGTGTTGCAATACTAAAACATGAATATTCCCGTTTGACACCACACATGGTGGAGAGCCAGGGTAAAGTTAAATTCATGTTTGAATACTTGAATGAATGTGAATTAAGCAGTAACTAAGGAAAATAAATCGATCAAAAACAAAAACTTATTCAGTGTCAAGAAAGTATAAATTATAATGTATTTAGAAAGATACTGATACTTATTCCTTCCAGATGCTGGAAGGAAGAGAACAGATTGATTGCTGAAGTCCAGGAAAGGTTGCTGTAAGAAGAGAGGGTTAAATAAGTATCTACAGAAATTTATTCTACCTTTTGTGAGAAAACAGTTTTTTTTATGTAAACGAGGCTCTTAAACTTTAGTTCAGAATTGTGGGAAACTTTTCAACAGGTCGTCGTTTCTAGGACCTGCTTCCAAGTTTACCAAATTCTGGCAGCGGCAAATGTAGGGTTTTATATTTATTTTAACTAACATTTATTTTAAGTTTAAACTATCTTTCCTGTCAAGCCTTACTTTCCCCTGGAATTGCCAATGCCAGAGTATGTAAATTTTAGTAGAACGCGCAAAGTATTCAAAATTGTCAGCGGAAGTAATCTGAGTTAAATAGAAGGGAAACGAGTTCGAAAGTGTGCTTTCTTGCTTCACGAGCGTGGAGGTGGCTAGTTAGAAATTGAAGAACCACGCGTTTCGGCCTGTGTGCTTGCCTCGGTGTTAATATTTCAACGTAATATTCAGAAGTTTGCTGAATTTCAGCGGTATCTTAGAACGCGGTGAGGTTAGTTACGTTTTAGAGAGCCTCGTAGTTAGTCACTTGTTATTATTCATTTTTAGTTTCTTATTTTTATTTTACTGCCGGGTCGGCGTAGTTTGTGAGTGTCAAGAGCACGCATCTGTAATTTCTGAAGTTGAATAAAAAGGGATTTAAACCCTTCTCAAGACTTTGCTTACTTTCCAGTTCATAGCAGTCACCACTATTGTTGCGTGCAGGTTGGAAGCGCGCAACATTACAGTGTGTATACATTTTTTTGATGCACCCTGTATTGATTGGTTTGGCCTTTTTGAATCTCAGTCACATTGAATTTTTCTGATAGAATACAAATCTCAGAATAAATTAGTTTTAAAAATGAATAAATTAACTAAAAATGATTGCAAATGATTCAAAAAAGTATGTGATTCCATTGGCATGCAATACAGCAAACATAACAATTCTAAAACTCAAAGTTTCTGGCAACAGTACTGCCAGGTAGAATAGAAGTCTGGCTTGCATGTCACAGCAGTAACTGCTGATTGGAGTGATGCAAATTAAATACTGTATAATACCAACTTTAATAACTGGAGATAATCACATTAGAGCCGTACGTACTTTTTCTCTGTGTAAGGATCAATGTCTTCACAATCGCAGCATTTCCATGGTATAAATTCCCCACTACATTCTTCGTTATCAGATGATAATGAATCGGATGCAGAATTCTCCTCATTGCTTAAAAAAGATCCGTATCTAGTTGTTTCATTGGGAGAAGGAAACATAGTTTGGTTGATACTACTGATATCATATACATCATCTTCAGGCACTTTATTTCTAGCCATTAAACATGGTCTTCTTACTGTATCTTCAGACTTCATAAACTGCTGGAAAAAATATTCTATTATTTAAACCGCTTTCGGTTAATTAGAAACATTTGAGATGAAAAAAATAAATATTACTTAACATTCGCACTGTAATAGGAATTGTTTGGAAAACATATTATGTAAATCATATATTGTGCAAATCATATGTGTGTATATTGTCTAAATCAAGTGTGGTCCTTTATTAATACAGCTCCACCTCTGAGCCAGAGGATAAGGCTAAGAATCAGTTTTAGTTCCCGGCGGTTGAATTAGTTGACTGCATAAGGGTTTTGCGATTTTTCTCATGTGTAACATGAATTCATGGCTGTTTTCTGCAGAATGGGTTTCACGAAGGGATCTCTCTCAATAAGTAAATAGTTTCTTATCATAATTCAACAATTCAACTAAATTAGTATAGAAGATGTTAGAAGAAAACATAGCTACATTTTACTAATTATTTACAGTTTTCTGATGTTATACTTTTCGACATCCTGACAGGTATGTTTTATTGCTGTATTTATGCCCTATGTTTCATTAGTGTCTCCGAGATGTAGTAGTTACAAAAGACCAACTACATTACGCTTATCTTTGAATTTCGGAGGATGGGTGGATGCTTGTGACCGTAAAAATGGGGGCATTTAAAATATGCCGATGCCAAAATTGCATACAGAAGATAGATAGTGGTAGACGAAGAGAATTCGATATCCTCCGATTCCATCTCTTTTGAAGCTCTCCTTGAAACCGGCGTGGATTTGAAGCAGTTAGATTTGGGGTGCTTTGCTTTAAACAAACAATCTTATTAAGTTATACGTTACCACAGCATGAATATCTCAAGTGCAGTCAAAGGTGGGCTTTTCCATTCGCTATCAATCCAGCATGAGAGTTTTTCTCACGAATATTGAATCGATTAGAAATATTTTACATGCGCTAAGGTCAATAATGATCATTACGCGCATTGAGTTGGTAGAACCACATGAGAAATCGAAACTTGAAGAAAGTTTTTAGGCGAAGTGTCTAAACGCATTAATTTTTGAGAATTGTAGAGGCATTGGGAAAACGTCGTTAAGTGCTAAGTTGAGACATGAAAAATGTGCACTGCCCTCGTTGGGACTCGAACTCCAGATCTTTCGAATACGCGTCAATTATGCTTCCAATTACTGCACGAAGGCATGCTTAAAGGAGGAGAAAATACCTTATAGGGTATTCGTTAAACTTTTCCCCTCTGATTTTATGACACTTATTTAAGAGATTTGCTTTCTTGTAACGTTTGCTGATCTTACGGCAACCTAAGTTTCTGTCATTTTTTGAAAAGTTCTCCAGTATGCTTATCATCTTAAAATAACTAACGAAAGTTGAAAAGTTCAGTTCTGTTTATGTTATTTTATTTTATTATTTGAATTATGCAACTTAAAGCGAATGCGTACCATCTGACCTTTTAGCCCTGTTGAGCAACTAACGGATCACTTGAAAGGAAATGATACTTAATTGTACAGTTTAGTTAAAGCTCTAGAGAAGAATTTTCCAAATAATGTTTCTGCAAACCCAAATTCTGCAATGATATTCATTTGGAAAAAGAGTAACCAGAAGTAAACCGAAATATTAATTTTATTATTTTTGTAGATTACGATATTTGCACGAATTGTGTTTGGATATGTAGAACAAACAGAGTGACAAGCGTTTTGTGGAGATTCAACGAAGAGTAGTGAAGGAACAGTTTTTGACTAGCATTCTGTTTTTAAGATCATCTATTGTCCAAAGTTATACTTTTATCTGTTGTTTATATTAACGATTAGCTTGCGATGCCATTCATCTTGGATCTTGCCTAGAGAGCAAAACAATTTGTAGTCTTTTTATTCTAAATAGCTTTCAGAACCAGTCTTAATGGGATCTTGAAGGAATTTTTAAAAACATATGTGGCCATTTTTAGAATTTAAATGTAACATTTAATGAATTTTTACACTCGATAGCGATGGAAGCAACTTATTTTTCTAATAAGCTCTTAATATTTAAAGAAAGAGAATGAGCGATATAACGCTGGTAAATTTTGCTTAAAAATCTTTAGAGTTATTGCCTGTCATTAAACTGAGTCACTGAAAGAAATATTCTTACATGAATATTTTTTTAAAATTAAACTCTTATTAGGGAAGAGTAGGAAAATATTTTCTTTTAATCTATTCTTTTCCCTTCCTTCAGTTCGACTTTCTTTTAGTCTATTCAGCTTAAAAGAAAAACATTTGAATTAGAAGTTAGAGAGATTAAACTAATATCAGGCAATCAATTAAAGTGAAAAATACAAAAAGATTTCAGTAAATACACCTAATTGTAAGAAATGCTTTGACGTATAAAAATGTAATTCGTATTCCTCATTAAAAGATTCGTAAAAGCAGCCTTTTTAAAAAACAATGTAAAGCAATGCAAGCAATGGTATTTAACCAAATATTATATTCTTTTACATAAATAATGCAAGATAATTAACCACGTAGCCAAAACTATTAGAATTACAAGAATTACAAATTGCTGAATAATAATAAAAAAAAAAAAAAAAAAAAAAAAAAAAAAAAAAAAAAACCTTAGCCAACTAATATTAGGCAATAAATTAAGCAGACAAATTTAGAAATGCTTCTCTGAATAACTTACTTTAAACACATACACTGACTCATACAATAATAATTCGAACTTTAATACTTTTTATTAAGATTCATAAAAGTCAGTTCTTTTTAACTAATACTTTTAGTTAAAACCGCATTTTGTAAACGTTATTCAAATTCTTGTTATTAAGGAATTAACGTTCGTCAAATAAATATATTTCGTGCATTAGTTTCTTTTGTCAAGGTAGAATTTTGAGATTTTTGTCAAATTAGGTTATTTAAAACCTTCGTGATTTTAGAAATTTTATTAAAATTTAGAATTAATATTTTTAAAGTCTCGTTTTTCATAGGACTCAAAGTAATCCTCTGATAAAAGAAAACGATGAAACGCTACCTTAAAGGATTGTTTTAAAACTGAAATACTTTTTTCCATTGTTATATAAATGTGAAAGGACATGAAATGGGAATTTGCTTTATCATGTCCCGCAGGTTTTAGTCATAGTTCTATCATAGTCATTTTCCTCTCAAAAACACTTTCATTTTAAAATCAACAAAAAGATGAATGATTTCATCTTTAGTGCTTCAGGAGCCTACCATTCTTCAACCCACAGACAGGGTCCGATTTACAAACCGAAGGACCAGGCAAAATTACGTTTTTACGGAGGCCCCTCCTCTAATTTTTTCGTCGTAGTAAATGCCACTGATGTATATTATATTTCATGAAAATACATTTCATACGATATATTTCATGCAATAACCTTGTAATTCAATGTTATTTATTCAAAGTTATTTAAACAAAAAGTAATTTTCACCTATTTGTACGTTTCTTTTTCATGATTTCAGTTCCACGTGCCTCCGTTTTGTAACTGGAAGCACCTCCGACGTATATTCGGGAGGTTCGGAGGGAGTTCGAATATCGGCTAGAGCATTGCAGATTTTTCACGTCTCCTCCCCCTACACACACACACACACACACACACACCAAAAAAAAAAAAAAAAAAAAAAAAAAAAAAAAAAAGACTCCAGAATGTGTTTCATAAAATATAGTGTTGCGAGCTACGGGTTCGTGACTGTCTGTTTACGTAATATCTATAAATGAGCATGAGGAAATTGACAACTGGGTAAAAATCAACAGAATGTCGACATGGCATTTCAGGATCGTTTTCACTCATATCTCCTGTTCTGTTTGAGCTATTTTAAGAATCTAAACGTTATGAGATTCAGAATTAAAACAGCTGGAATTACATAGAAAAGTAAAACACTCATGTAGAAAACATGTGGCTGCAAATTCAATTACAGAGAAAGTAAAACCCTAAAACTATTACTTAAATTAAAAAATAAATAAATAAAGGAATAAATAAACAATACAGAAAAAATCGTATGCAATCAAAAGCAATTAAATATTTAGTGATTTGCATCAGCAAACTCACACATTGTAAACCAGGAATTTGTTGTTTTTGAAATAAATTGAAAATGAGACACAAAATTAATGCACTTAAATTGACTAATAATTGAATACAATATGAGTAGTGAAGTACGTGATGAAAACGTGGAATTAAGGAATTCAGTTGCTTTCAGGCTTGAAAGAAATTGCTTTTTTCTGGCGGGTTATATTTTTGAAACCTAGAATTGAAAAAATACACACAATTTTGCACATTTTAAATACTATAGGAAGATTTGTAAGTCCGAAGTATCTTCCCCTTTTACCACATAAGAAATTTAGGCTCTGCCCGTAAACATACTGTTTAAAGATACCACAATCAACAACGGAGACTGATTAGTGTACCAGTTTGCTACTTTTGAAAGCACAAATTAACGTGAGGCATTACTAGCTTAAAAATCAATAATTAATCCTCTTCTTGAATTAATTAAATATGATTGGGAAGTACATTTGTGATAGTAACATTTTAGTATAAAGGAGTTTCAGTATATTCCTAAATCATACTTTGCGAACATTAGAAATGAAGAGTTCGAGACACCATGCTCTGACATGATAAGATTATACTTGCTTAAATCTGACATGCTTGACGTCAAATGCTAAGTGTTGCATATCAGAACTCGACTTTGAAAAATACTGGTTCGCTTAAAAGTTGGTATTATTTTATTCGGTATTTCAAACCTTGATGTGAAAAGCTTTCAAAAGCGTTTTTACTGGCAACTGAATTTAATGCCTAGTTTCTGAAACATCGGCTGATATTTCAAAATACTTTTTATCTGAGGATTTTTCATATTATAGTGAAGTATTAATCTTTCAACAACTATATGCTAAGAACAGAGTACAGGTGGTGTTTTGAAGTCGGAAGTTTCACTTATATAAGTATACTAGCTTGGTTTTTAGCCTGATAATTGCATTTTGATCTTTGAAAATTTGAAAAGTTTTCTATCACTCTCATTTTTAAAATATTCTTTCTGCATCTTGATTCTAAAACATACTATTAGATATTTTCAATCTGATCTCTAGTTCTACGGTGATCTGTCCAAAACGCTTTCACTCTTTTAAGATTTCAACTAATAATGCTGATTCTGCGAGTGGAAATAACATTGCAGCATATTTTTCTCGTGTTACCCTAAGAGTTTTAAGAGCACGGAATTTAGTTCTCAGTTGATCATATATAATTTTCTTAAAGGTTTCTCTGTCACATTTTGTTTCTGTAAAACCAGCTGTAATAATCCTCTAATACATACTTGAATGAGCATTTCGTCTTTCCCAAAACGGTTTTATAAATATTTTAACGCTCTTTCATAACTTAACCAGTTAGCAGAACACTTTTTATCAACTACTTTGCAACGCTACCCTTTTCCATAGACTAAGAAAAATTGGGAAATTTCTCATGCAAATCCAAATTGGGATCCTTGTCAATTTTTAGGAATTGCCCACAAAGCTACAACCAATTTTTTACATATTCATTAAATGAAGGGAGTTGTATTTTAAGGTAATGCTACAGCGAATTTTGGCGTGAAACGCTGCTGTTTTCAGCAGAATCTACGTTACCTGATAAAGGTATTTCTAAAGATTTTTAGTTGCAACGAGAGTCATCCATTTATATATGCTTCCATTTCATCTATTTATAACTCAAGCGATCTTTCATCAATATCTCTTTTCTTCAATTAATTATAATTTTGCTCTCTTAGCAGGTAGATCCAATGCATCTTTCTCATCATTAAATTCATTATACGAATTTGTAAATAACCTCCGATGCTGCGTTCTAGCTTTTTTTAAACTATTATAGTTAAAAGATCCATAAGTAACATAAAACTAACGCAATATGCAATGAAGGAAAACGTTCGCTTAGTCAGCTTAAAAAATGCAGACGAATCCTGGCGCGGACACCAGATATCCGGTAGCGGAAGACATTTAATCAGAAGAAATATTTCATTCACAAAACTTTATTTAGAGACGATCACAAATGGGAATCATTTACCTCTTCCCAACCAACCAGCGGCTGAGCGGTAAAGTCATTGAACATTGGTAGCTTGGTCTGGGGTTCGATTCCCTGCGAAAGGGCTGGCTGCATGGGCGTTTTCGCGGTTTTCCCCATGTGTAAGGTGTATAAGAGCCAGTTTCCTGTAGAAAGTCCTTCACGAAAGCATCTCTTCCCTTAGGCAGATAGTTTTCGACAGCTTTACCATAATTAAATAAACCACACCAAACCAACATCTTCTCAAACGAAAATGTACCATTTCTTAAAACTTTCATAAAATCATATTATTCAATAAATAAGTCTCTACTACTTCTCTGGTATACTTTCTATATGGTGCCCCTCAGAAATTACTATAAAAATAACTCTCTTGCTCTCGATAAACATTAATCACACAACTCTAACCAAAAATGAAAAATATCACTCCCCCTTTTTTTTCGAACAGAAAAAAGGACCTTTTTGCCACTAAAGTGTAAGTGAAATATAATTAAAACTACAAGATTATGCTTATACTCTCGCTCACATATTAGATGAGGAAATGTAAAAAAAATTTCCAACAAATACATTGTGGGTCTTTACTTTTTGGTTTATTGTTTAATGTTATGTAAACTTTTCATTGTTTTTATTCGTAACATATGAATAAAGTATCACAAACTAGATTGTAGAAATTCTTAAGGAAGAAAGTTAATAATACTTAAAAATGCATTATTGATGCTGTTTTTTGTTAAAATATACGCACAAATAGCACATGAAATCATTGAATAATATGCCTATATATATGGAATAAAAAAGTAAAAAGTAAGGCATAAAATATCAGAAGAAAATATCCTAAAAATACAGTGTTCATTAACACACACACACACACACACATAAATATATTAATATGCAATCAATATTAATCGTTGGTTAGGTTTAATGCAATGTTATGGTTAGGCTCTGAAGCAATTAGACATTTCTAAGCTATATTTATACATATATTTAATTTAAAATATACAATTTTCTTATCATATATAAAATACAGTATATGCAGTACACAGACACACATGTTATATGTAAAATATAAAAAAAGAAAAAAAAAATTTCATATAGACCTTTAAATCTTAATTTAATGACTATCGTAGGGCATAAGTTATCTCATCATATGACACAGCACATTTGGGACAATTTGCCCTCCCCAGTTTTAAACTGTGCAGGTACATCTTTTAAGCAATGGAGAAAATAGAGCTTAACGATGAGACGTAACGTACTTAATTAATGCAGTACACAGACAGACATTTTACATGTAAAATATGAAAACAGAAAAATAAATTCTCATATAGACCTTTAAATCTTAATTTTTAATATTTCCTTTTGCCTTGCATCACTTATTTGCAATCACCCGCATTGCGAAAACTCTTTCCCAGTCGCTATCCTTCACTTGAACAAAGAATTTCTGAGTTATAAATACTTCAGGACGTTGTGCGCATCCTTTTTTGCCGCTTGCACTGTCTTTCTAAATCACGTCTCATCGTTAAGCTCTATTTTCTCCATTGCTTAAAAGATGTACCTGCATAGTTTAAAACTGGGGAGGGCAAATTGTTCCAAATGTGCTGTGTCATATAACGAGATAATTTATGCCATACGATAAGTTGATAAGAATCGACAAGCAATAAAGAAATGTTCCAGATTATCAAGTTATTTTGTGATTCTGTAAAAGAGTTGCAGTTATCTACTGCCCCACCCTAGTCAAGCTATTTACTATCACCGTCTCCGCCACTCCATGATTGAAAGTGAATGGGTCTCCTCTAAATCATTATACATATAAGCCCCTCTCGTATATAATATATATATACAGTGGACTCTCAAAAATCCGAGTGCGGATTATCCTTGGTGGCGATGGCCAATGCACACTATGCGCGAGAGTGTGCAAAAAACTCACACGCGCAAATTTGAGCGCGGAGAAACATTTTTCTTAATGTAGAAATCAGAGATTTATTTAATTGTGAAGAAGTTCATTTAATAACTGAAGTTATTACTATAATAAGTATTTTTTATTTTTAAAAAAGATTTTGGCGTACAACTGAAGTTGTATGCCAAACAATTTTAAATGTAAAATTCTTCGAAAATATCAATCGCGAAAATTCGAGCGCTTAATGGTTCAATAGCTGTTAGACTGTGCTTAACTTCCAATGCTTGAGTGATGCAGATAACGTCTGACAGGAACAGAAGAGGCAGAGAGTGATACTGCAAATACAAACGAAAAAGAACCTAATAGTTTATTACGGCAGTTCCGAGACAGCAATGACTTCTGTTTAAAGAGAAGGATTTCGTCGACGAAAGAGGATTCGAATAAAATAATAGTATTTGGAAAAATACGCAGTGAAATCCGACAAATATTTAAACGTTCTCAAAAACGTACACCATATAAGGACCAAATATGAGGATACCGGTTTGACAGTAGACATTAAAGCTGTTGAAAACATTGCAGTTATTTAGTGACAGTTTTACTGCAGTTCCCAAAATATCCGAACTTAAAATGAAACCGCAACAACATCAATAACAAACTCAGAGGGGGAACTGAATATATGATTAGCTGCCTAAATAGACAGATACGTGAAAAAGTTACCACCAATTTTATCGAGAGAGTGCGGTGCTGCACAGCAAGTCTTAAAAATCGCATGCCATATATTATTTTTCATTCTTAAACCGGAACATTTACTCGTTGTAAGTATGTTAATGCATTTTTAATTTTCGGAAAATAAAGTATTTTATTGTGCATATTAAATCCGATGTTTTTGTTAGTACATCCCATACTACACAGATATCATATTCCTTGATTTCCAGATATGTTTCTTAAACTTGAGAACTGGGTAATAAAATAAAAACGAGTTTATACAGTGATTTTGTTAGCAAAATCTTATTTCTTAAAAATTCTACGAAATATTACAAAACAATACTAAATTTGTATAACTTTAAGCGTACTGAAAAATAATTAGTATAATAATATAATAGTTTGCTTCCTTTTATTCTTTTTTAAGGGGAACTGAACTCTGGTAACTCATCCTCCGAATTTCGGTTTCCGGCAATTGAATGGACGGGCTTTTAAAGACTTTCTGCATGTGCATTGCGAATGCTAGCTAGTTCCTTTAGGAATAAACAATCCTTTACATAAGCACTCACCTCTGGTACACAGGTTCTGGATTTTTTTGTCATTACTGCTTCTTAATATTATTTATATAATGATATATTTTGAATTTTTAGTAAGTGCATGATTTGGTATGCTCCATTTTTCAGGTTTTATTCGTGTATCGATTCTTAATATCATATTTGACAAAGTTTTACTGCTAATTATTGAATTAGATTTTAAATGATTATTTTTAAAATGTTAGACATTCAGGCTTCTTAATGTTGTTTAATATTATATATAACATTTATATTTTGTTTAAAACTTAGCTATTTGGTATTGCAATCAAGCTTTAATATTTCTACTCGATAGCTTTGAATACACATTTATCAGATTCCTATGTGCAATTTTTTGTGTAACTGCAAGAATTACTTAATCCTATTGATTGCATACGTAAGAAATTTATTTTAAAAAGCTACAAATAACGTTTACCTTATTGAAATAAGCAAACGATGGCCATTCGGCAGTAGATACTGTCATTTCAAACGTTTTAGTTCTAAAACACAGAAAAAAAAATATAAAATGTTTTACTTACTAAAAATCAAACAACAAAATCCACAGATGGCAAAGAATACAAACAGTAAATTTACTTAAACTTTAAAATTTTTCTGTTCTATTACTTAATTAGAGGTTCAAGAGCGGTCGAGTGGTTAGAACAGTTGAATACTGGTAATTCGATTCAGGTTCAGGTCTTGACGAATATGATGGCTGCATGGGAATTCTGGAGGCTTTTGCTATACACAGCGTAAATATGAGTCAGTTTTGCATAGAAAGTCCGACGGTATCCCTCCTGTTAGCATAGAGTCTTCATGTGCTTTACCACATTGAAGTAAGCACATCTACCAAACAACTCCTAGAAAGGTTTTTATAAAGGCGGTGTTTTTTTAGCCAGGCAGCCCACCAGCGATCAAGCTTAAAATCACTGAACACTGGTAGGTCGGTCGGGGTTCAAATCCAGGCAAACGGGCTAGTTGCATGGGCGTTTCCGTAGTTTTCCCCCATGTGTAACGGTTCCCTTAAAAGTTTTCTTTAAAAAGTCTTACACGAAGGCATTCCTCCCCTTAGGCAGATAGCCCTCGAGTGCTTTGCCATAAACTAAATAAATCAAGCAAAATCAAACCTTTTCCCCGGCAGATAGATAGCTTTCATGTGCACTGCCTTAATTATAGCAAACCGATTAGTTAATCAAAAAAGATACAATTGAGTAAAAGATAAGAGTGAAAGGGAAAATATCTTCAATCCCATTTATGACTTATAATTAAAACACATTTTTTATTATAAATTAAGTACAACTTTCATCACTTTTTGCGATTCATCGTGAACCAAGTCTTCCGAAGAACCATTCGAAATTTTTACACCTTTATTGCAAAGAACAAAGTCTGTTTACGACTGGAGACTAGGAAATCGTATTATTTAATATTTACGAAGAGAAAGTACTAAGATATATATAGCCTTGGTATATGCTGCTCAAACAATTTTAAAATTAGTGTCTCTCATTAAACTGCGTCATTTAGAGACATATTCTTGTAGCTATCGTTCTGAAACTAAACTCTTGTTAAGGGAGAATTGCAAACTATTTTTCCTCGCTGAAATGAACATTAAACAAAAAATATTTCCTGAAAATATTGACAAACTCTTTATTTACAGAATGGACAAAGACAGTAACAAGGTTTGGTTTTCGTGGTTTTCCCATGTGTAACATGGATACGAGCCAGTTTCCCTTAAAAAGTCCTCCACGAAGGCATCCCTCCCTCACAGGCAGATAGCACTCGAATTGCTTTTTCTAAACAACTAACCTAACCTTTTGATTTTATAACTATACATGAGTTACTTTTTATTGGCATAAAGCTAAACATATAACCTAGTTTTAGATATGTCTTAGGGAAGGATACTTAGAGAGACATATGAAGTAAATAAAGAACTTTAGCCCTGCACAGTACGTTATTACTTTATCATTAATGCTTTTAAACTGCCTGTATAAACATTGTAGGACATTCCACACGTTATATATCTATTTATCTAAATTACATTCTTTTGCAAAAAAATCGAAGCACCAAGAAGGACTTTTGCGATCGTGGCGAAATTTGGTATGCAAAAACATCTTTATCGAACATGCAAATGATCAAAGTTTCAAGGCAAATAAACAGGAATTGCGATCATAGCGCACAATTCGCAAAGTATAAAACCTGTAACAGAGGCGGAAATTGTATCTTTTTTGATGCTGCCATTGTAATTCCTTGAAGAAGCAACTAAAGATGCCATTACGACCGATATCGAAGACCTTACAGACAACTAAATGACTTCGAACGTGGTCGCATTGTAGGGTTGCGTGAAGCTGAGTGGTTATACCGAGCAATAGGCCGCCGCCTGCAGCGTACAGACACTGCTGTGCAGAAATGTTGGCAGCAATGGTTGCTACAAGGAAATTGCCGACAAAATGAAGGTTCTGAAAGGCCGAGCAGCACAAATGCGAGGCAAGATATGATGATTGTTCGCCAGGCCCGAACCGCCCCAACGGTATCATTGTCGACTATTCAACGCATTACAGCCACGTCTATACATCAGTGTAACCGTCCACCATCTCATGGCGCTTGCCTGAGGCGAGCTTACGCTCACAGAGGCCTTTAAGACGTTTGCCTTTGACTCCACAACATCGGCGGAGTGGTCTGGAGTGGTGTCACAGCCGATCATCATGGCTGCCATCAGACTGGCATCGTAAAGTGTTCAGCGATAAATCCACCTTCACTCTTGAAGCCTTGAAGCAGATGACCACCGTGTTCGTGTCTGGAGAGGACGGGGCCAGAGGTCCCAATCAGTCTTTGTTTTACAAAGGTATACATCCATAACTTCTGGTGTGATAGTGTGGGGCGCTATTTCTTATGACAGCAGATCATCTTTAGTCACCCTCCGTACATCTTTAACAGCTTAACGATATGTCGATACCGTTCTGCGGTCGTTTGCATTACCTTCAGGGCACGTTATCATGGGTCATTTTCCAACAAGATAATGCCAGGCCACATGCCGCTCGCATATCTCTGGACTGCCTCTGTGCGGCTGATTATCTTCCTTGGCCAGCAAGGTCACCAGACCTTTCATCAATCGAGCATGTCTTGGGCATGGTAGGCCGCCAGATTGGGGCACCACAAAATATCGCAGATTTGGAGCGACAACTGATGAATGCCTGGCAGAATGTGTCGCAGAATGACATTAGGAATATCCATCACTCCTTGCCTCGACGAATTCAAGCAAGCATTGCCGCCAGGGGCGGTTCGACCAACTACTGATTTGAACATTGAATGGGTGATTGTGAGCCGTGAACAGGTACTATGATCTTGACTTTTTAATTATTTTATTATTTATGTATGAGCTCTACACCTATTCAATTTCATCAAAAACAACCACTTCCTTCATGGTGCTTCGATTCTTTAGCAAAAGAGTGTATTTCAATAGCTTTACAATGCAAAGCATTATAGTGAACTCATTTTTACTCTATTGTATTGTTATTTTTATATTATTTAAATCAATAGCAGAACAAAAGTTTAGAACAAGTAAATAAATTAATAATAAGTTCCCCGGCAATATGTCGAAGGAATCCGTATTTCCGGATAGGTCCTATATTTCCGTATAGGTAATATGATCTAGGCACATGGAGTTGTACTGTGTTACGGTTTCAGTGATGTTACGTAATTTATGTGAAGAACATGTAGAATTAAACAGCATGTAAATTCAGTAACGCTAGTTTATGAGAACTGCATGAAGAATGAACAAAGAAAAGGGCATTTTATCTTTATCAACTAATAAAAAGAATCGAGAAGTGGAACTAGCTTGTACAGAACCCAAAAATTAACTGACATCTGTCATCTAATGTTCTCAGAAAATTTGGAAGAAGACATCAGTTTCCCACAGCAACTACTGTTATTGATATTTGCATGTCATATAAGGAAAATATGTAAAGAGAAGTCTCAGAACCTTTAAAGTTTCTATACTTTAACGTGAGTCTTAAAAAATGTCACTAAACTATTCAGCGCTACTTATTCTAGAACTTCAACATAATTCACAGTTTCTCACTTCCTAGATGTGAGATGAATGAGTTAAATTCTTCAAAAACCAAAGATTGCTTTTAATCGTAGTAGTCGTTAAGTATTATTTAATTTTTTATTTATTTCTTTTGTCATCATTTCAGTCAAGAAAAGATTTTCCCCTTTTTTCTTTTTCTTTTAATTTTTAAATGTTTATTTAAGAATTCCTTTGATTTGTAATTTCGTGTTTTACAATCTAGTGGAAAGTTTAGTAAAGTAACTTTGTAATTGTGAAATACCAATAGTTACCGTTCAAATATTTAGGGAAATAAATTACATGCTGTAGTATTTATACTCAAAAAAGTTTAAGATAATTAAAAATATTAGAAGTTTTAGCGGAAGTTCTGGAACAAGTACTAAAACAAAGAACGCATACATTATTAGAATGTTAAATAGAGAAATATTGATTTTATATTGAAAAATCTCACTTGCAAGGAAGAGGACAAAAACAAGGAACATCGCTTTCGCTGACTGATTTGATGACGTCTTCAAGGCAGCAAACTATAAATAGAAAAAAAAAAAAAAAAAAAAAAAACTATAAATAGAATATAAATGTTTTAAATATATTATTCGAATTTAAAGTTACCCTTAACGAGATATCTACAGACAAAAGGCATAAATTCTTTTCTTTACTCTTTTTCCTTCAGTCATGCGTATAAAATGTTGTGCATCCTCCGTCATCACTTAGTGTTCATTCAAACCATTGGCTTATCAAACCAGCTTTAGGAAAGAAATGACACTAGTTACTGTAAAGTCAATAATTACTATAATTTTCAGGTGTATAGTCTTGTGCTGAGTAGTTTAGCTTCATATATTCACTCGATTTCACATTATAAGCACGCACTGCAGATGGCAAGGTCAAAGATTTAGATGCGACTCAAAGGGTTGATAATTCTTCTGAAGAACTGCATGTAATTTTGTATCCATAACGGTGAGCTGCGGTAGCCTTAACTAGCCTGCAGTAGTCTTTAAGTGTGAGCTGCAGTTTTGCATCGAAATATTCAGGAGGGAACAGACTCTGGGTTGCTGCAGTTCAAAATGCACGTTTTAAATTATGGATATGTTAAGGTATCTGCCTACGTTAAAAAACCGATTTCGGCGAAAAAATTCGATTTTTTTTAATTGCCCAATTTGAAAGGTCAGTTTTGTAGGATTCCGAAAATGGTTCGTTTTTACGTTTGTGATAATTAGAAGTGAAGATATAGCCAATTAACTGCACTGGAAGTGAAAGCAGAAAGACCGGAAGTGCTATTTAAAAGGCTCAACTTAAAGGTAAACAATGTTGTTATCCGTGTTTTGTTTTACCTGTTTTGTGTATAAATTGTGCTAAAACATTTCCGGCGAGGGCATTGCTCATTTATCACGCCTCCTGCTTCAGAAAACCTAATGAATCTACAGTGGCGCCCGAACTAATAAGGCGGTGGACAATATTCATCACCACCAGGATATGCCGACTGTGTTCCCTAATCCCCAATCACGCTTTAAAAGAGAGAGTATATAAGGTAATTTCTCCCTCCTTTCAGCATGCATTCGTGGTGTAACGGTTAGCATTCGAGAGGTCCAGGTTCGAGTTCCGGCGAGGGCATTGCTCATTTATCACGCCTCCTGCTTCAGAAAACCTAATGAATCTACAGTGGCGCCCGAACTAATAAGGCGGTGGACAATATTCATCACCACCAGGATATGCCGACTGTGTTCCCTAATTCCCAATCGCGCTTTAAAAGAGGGAGTATATAAGGTAATTTCTCCCTCCTTTCAGCATGCATTCGTGGTGTAACGGTTAGCACATTCGGCGCATATTCGAGAGGTCGAGGGTTCGAGTCCCAGCGAGGGCATTGCTAATTTTTCGTGTCTTCTGCTTCAAAACAGCCTAGTGATTCCATAGGGTGTCTCAAAAGATCGTTTCCCATGATAAAAAAGATTTATATAGGAACTTGCGTCTGAAAATGCGAACGGCGATCGCTAGAGGGTAATGCTCGCAGGCTTATGGAAGGGCAGGAAGCGTAATCATATCAGGCGAGGATGTTGCAGGAGAAGGATTAATCGGTTTACTCACTTAGAATTAGGCGATATGTATTACGTGTATCGTGCTGCGGATGGAAATGGACGACCCGCGATACGGATATACCTTCCCAAACAGAATGTCAGCCAAATCGTGCTTCGTTCAGGTAATTACATCGCAGATTCCGTGAGGCAGGAGCTTTCCAAGTAAGTAGTTATATCGGCCAAGAAGATACTACACGCACACCTGTCTTAGAGGAAGCTTTGCTACAGGAATTTGAGACGAACTCGCAGACAAGTTTCTGATCAACCGAACGCATTTTGCATGTACATCGTTCCACAGTTATGCGCATACTGCACGAGCATGCGTTACAATCCTAGCGCATCCAAACAGTACAAGCATTGTACGATGACAGTTACTCCCAACGCTTTGCATTCGCATGCTGGTATTTGCACAAATAGGTCGCACAGTCGGATCTTGAATCGGGTATTTTATTTTCCAGTGAAGTCTTTTTTACACGGGAAGGTGTCCTGCACAATATACACGTGTGGGCTCATGGGGACCCAAGGTGTACACGTGCCCATGGAAGTCAACAGCGTTGCACCATAAACATGGGCTGGTATAATTGGTCACATGCTAATTGGTCCTTACCTGCTACCTCAACGCCTTGTCGGGAAAACCTATCGCACGATTTTAGAAAGAATGTTGCCGGATGATAGACATATAATGATTGCTAGATTGGCTAAGACTGACCAGTCAAATGGCCACTGCGATCTTCTGACCTGACTGCCCTGCATTTCCACTTGTGCAAATACATGAAGTCCGTGATGTATGAGACGACCGTAATATCGGACATGGATTTTTGTCGCCAAGATCGTGGAAGCGGCTGCACGTGTCCGTGACACATCTGCCCATTTTTAACGGGTCCGTGAATCCATGCGTCGAGATTGTGAAGCATGCGTTGTGACGAATATAAGGAATTTTGTGTGATTTAACCGTGTTCTTTAATAGAAGTCATATTAGCACCTCTTTCGACCACCTTTCTTTCTTTCCCTCTACGTTTGCGAACACTGCCCTCTAGCGGTCGCCGTACGCATTTTCGGACCCAAGTTCCTATGTTAATCTTGTTTATCATGATATGACAGACCAACATGTTACGTTTGGCAAGGATTTTTTTAGACATCGTGTATTCCTATATTTGGAACATAGGAATTATTTCAGTTTGCCCTGCAATTACTCAGTTGCAAAATAAAAGCCTCTTGACATTGGCACGTAGAAGATACATCCTTTAAATTCAAAATCATTTATTATTTATATGAAAAAGTGTCGGTTACTGTATTGATGGGTAATTTTATGGTTTTATCTTTTCCTACCGATAAATATCTAAACATAAGAAATTCGGAAATCAGATCTTGGCTTACTGTACTTTGTTTGGATGTTGAGCAGAGTAACACAATGTTCAGTTTTCGTTGTATTTATGCAGAACTTCCTGTAGAATAACTTTTTATCTTTTTTTGTGCCAAATGCAGAGATTTGAAGCTTCCGTGGTCTAAAATATCTTTCCTGCCTGTCGTTGTCATGGGCCTTAGGCATCTTACAGGTGACAGTACAACTTTGACGAATTTTCTCCCAATTTTGATGGGGAAGAACCTGGTGATGCAACAGCCAACAATGTTATCTGCTTTACCGATCAGAGTTTTACGTTAAGTTTGTAAGAATATTTTAATATGACTCCCATTTTAAAGTCTTTAGATGAGACTCTCTCCTCATTGAACTTAAGAATCTTCGAAAAGATGGCTAGAGAAGAATCAATAAATCTTCCTTTATCCAATAATTTACGTCACAAATTTGTTAAGACATTTAGAGTCCGTCTTTAAACTCCTACTCAAAGCTACAGTCAAAAGCAGTACTGCATTTATAAAGCAATAATTATCACATGCTCGAAAACAGACTTCTATAGGTTTGCAGCTTGATGTAATTACACATAGTACTTCTTTGTACTCTACATACATTAATAACCTGCCAAACTATTATTCTCGTTTCTCATAATGTTTCCCAACATCAACAGCCTAACGTGAAAAAGGATAAGTATGTTTCTTATAATTTGCTTCAAGTTGAATGATTATTAGTGAATTAATATATTGCAATTTTGATCACATGTTCAACGCGCAATGCTTTTCACTAAAGAATTTAATTGATTTGAAATACTAGTATTATATATAAATCAGTGGTCTAATATTCTCATTCCGTTTTCTTACAATTTTAATGAATGCGTTTTTTACGATCCTTTATATGTTGTTTCAAGAAACGCATATTCAAGAGCCTTACTAATTTTATAATAGCGTTGCATCGTACTGCAGGCAATTAATTACATACGATTCCCATTTGTAGTCCATCTTTAATTCTGTCGCTTTTTAGTGATTAAAATGAAGCGTTAATACGTAACAAAAGTTGCAGAAGACATGGCATTAATTTTATATCTGTGATGATATTTTGCACGAAATGCGATACAAAGACCACGATATCTTTGGAAAATTAATTTTTAGAAATTTTTTACTAGTATTATGCAAATGCCTAATAAGGATCTTTCACTAATTATTCGTATTTTTATCACAGTAATGGTGATAAAATTTAGTTATCTGTCGAAAAGCTGCTACGTATGACTTGTTGAAATTTATATTCTACTCGAGTATAAATTTCATATGGGAAGATTTTAATCTGATTATAAACATCGTGATTTGCTCAAATAGAATTGGCATGGGGATCTGTTGCTACTTCCATTGTATTTATCTTTTACAGGTGTATTCACTAAAATTTGCGATGCCTATTGATAATCCTCTTATCACTACTCCTAATTTCTCCGCTTTTGTAAACAGCTCTTGAACATTTCATGGAAATTTCATACAAAAAGTAAATTTCTGGATATTTCAGTTTTACTGTTTATGTTATAGCAAATGAAATAATGCTAAGAAAGTTTTTTCTTGCTGTTTACAGCGCTTTTATGTTGCATAATCTCATTTGCATAAATGAGGCCTTATATCAGAGCAAACAAATGCCCATTAAATTTGTTGCAATTTTCCAGGCGACAAATTATCTTTAAACGTCTTTTTTCTTCGTATCTTTGTCATGGGAAGAATGTTTGTAAAGATTTGGTTTTCTTTGGAATTTTTCCATATATATATATATGTTTTCCACAAAATTTGATTATTTTTGCATACATATTGTTAACCATTGTTTGGTAGCATCTTTTATTTCTTTAACTTTTTAATTACTATCACTGCAAATACTCAGCATTTAATTTTGCATTTTCTTTGAAACAGAAACTTTTTTTGTCTCGGTCAGCTTAGAGGCTAGTCAATAGTTTGAAATATATATTATACTTGGTTTGCTAAACTTTTTGCTGTCAAAGCATATAAATTTGGGTACTAGAAGCTTGTAAGTGTATGCCCTGAAGTATATAGGAAAGCATGCTATAAAAAGTATTTAATATTAGAAAATTGATTTGACGAAAATAATTTATATCAGATTCCTAGAATAATATTCTAATTTTGTTATTTTGTGATCGTAACCAAAGGAATGGTTGCAGTTGTTAAGGTTTGAAATGAAATATTTTGGAATTTTGGACTAAGAGGTCATTTTATGGTATAGAGTTACAGTATTTCGAATAAGAATTTAATCTTTTTAGAAGAAGTAGGTTTTGATTTATTTTAGAGAGAATTTGCAGAGGAAGTTTCTCATTTGACATAATCTGAATTTTATGCTGAATATAAAACAAAAACAAGAAGATTTGAACCCATAGAAATACTTTCTTCTTGATGCAAAAGTTGACTATTCAGGCATTGCGTATTTTATAGGCGGATCTACTCTTCGTAAGAGATTTTGCTGTGTTAGCTCTGTTATCATCATAGCAGAGCTATTATTATCATAGCTCTGTCAGCAATACTCTGCAGTATTGTAACATCAGTTTCGGTCTGTGGTCACAGTGCGTTGTACGTACATGTCGGAGTTGTATGGCACTAGAACTAAGGCTGTAGAACAGAAACAGCACCTAAAATCCGAAAGTGTTATCAACTCCTTTTTTGCCAATCTTTGTCGATGCTCACATCAATGGTTTGTATCTTTCGCAGGAATTTATTTATACAAAGGTCGGCCTGCATATGCCTCTATAAAGAAATAGCATATCACTTTATTTAAGCCTGGAATCTTTTTTGAAAGTTACATTGCAATAGCACAAATATAGAAAAATAGGCTTAAAGAATTAATCCATTCCTTACCAGATGTTTGATTTCTCAAATCACAGCGGACAAGGGACTGATTAGCAGGCAAAAATGGGTCAACGCATCCACATTGAAGAAAGTTTCGATTTTGTATGCAGTTTCGTATACATCCCTGTAGAAGAATGTAAAACAGCATAAAAGTTTGGAAAAAAAAAAAAAAAGAAAAGAAAAGAAAATGTGCATTACTCTCTGGGTGACAGTAATGTGAAATCAACCGAATATATGTTCTGTTAATACATTGTTTTTTCTTTTATTTCCCGGTTATAAATTTTAACGCAAACGTCGGGACCACATTTTTATTGAGCGACATTATAAACGTACAGAATATACAATTTTTATAACGCAACAAAACTTTTTGATCGTTAATTTGTTGACTTGATAAGATCACTAATTCACTGATCGTTAATTAATAATAATTCATAAAACAAAATTAAGGATAAAATAAATTTTATTTTAATCGTTTCTTAATTTCATTTTATTAGCGAAAGCATCATGTGATCTTTTCATTTTTTTTAGTCTGCGCAATTGGAAAACAAAACGCCTGTGCATTATTGCTTTGGATCAGACAAGTACTGTTTAAATGTTTCTGGAAATGTTTAATGGAATGTTTAAATGTCAATGGAATGTTTAAATGTTTCATGTTTAAATTAAAACTGGAAAACCTTCAGAGCAGCACGGTGGTAATAGAAGCCTGTCGAACTTCGGAAAGAAATTCAGAAGCCTGTATTGTTTTGCTTCTTAGTTTGTAATTCTTAGAAATTTTAGAAGTTTCCTTGCAGCGCAATTTTGCCAATGATGCAATTTACGCTTCATTACTTTGGAAGCACAGAAGAACCTGATTTGACATTAACTCTTTTCTTTCAGCTAAATACTACAACTTCCACTTTCCAGCTCTACACTTGAGCCGGTTTGGTTTCACCAGCGTAACAACAATGCTGCAATAACGTTAGACTAAGCTTCAAAGAAACTGCAAGCTGCGATAAAACGTTTGCTTATTTGTGCTAATTATATTACAACGAACTTCTTCCTTACACACATATATATAATTTATCATTAGAAAACTTTTTAATACTATCTGCAAGGAACAGGAATTCAATTAAAATCATAAATTTAATTTTTATAATACATACATTTTTTATACAGTATTTAACTTAGTATTATAAATTAGTATTTCTAGACTTTTATTGCAGTAAAAACCAACACACACATATATATATACATATATATATATATATATAAAAATGTTTCTGTAGTTAGTATGTAACTCAAGGCAATCGTGGTTTTTTATTCCCTAACTAAAAAGTTGTGATCTAAAGCGTAATTGAAACTATATCACAAAAATGAAAAGATTAAGCCTGTAAACATGTTACAAATTATAATAGTAAACCACTAAGGACGGTTTAGTGAAGTATTCGCCTAGTTGCGAATGAGAGACATTACCCTTAAAATAAATATTTGCATAATTAAGAATGAAGAATTCATTAGCTTGACGAGAAGAAAATGTGACTAAATAGCACATCAAATATCAGTCTAAAAAGAGACCTGAAATAATTAATATTTCTCTTTCTCCAGCATTCACGGACATAAATATGCATTAACAAATAAACACGAGTCTTATATTTTCCGAAACATTAAATTGACACTATAATCGTAGATGTTTAATTATGAAACTATAAATATACAGTTGGAAGTAATAGAGAGAGGCAAAAACAGAAAGGAGGGTGATAGATAGTGCTGAGAAACAGCTGCATTTTGACCCATTGAATTTCCACTGATTACATATTATTCTTTTTCACGAGTTTCAGCACTGGGACTTCAATGGAAACAAACACATCGAGAAGAAATTTCCGTAATTCTTCTTGAACTATTAATAATTCATAAAGATATAAATTGCAAAGCTTCATTCCTTGAGAAACATTTCACCTCTGGAGTCCGAAAAAGAAATACCAGAGGAGAATGTAACTTCGTTAATTTTGTAAGACTCTATTAATTTGAAAATACAAATAAGCAGCTAGGAGTTCTTAGCAGGAGTAAAAGTATTCGGAAAACTAATGCATAGGGTACTGATATATTTTCATTAGTTGATATATTCTACCGTGAGCAGTTAATTTTTCCTGGTTGCAATATCGTATGATGCTATGTTAAAGGTATTATTTATGTGAAAGAAATAGGAATCATTTCTATAGTAATTACAATTACTGCACATGTTATCACATTCTTCCTGTGAGTGTTCTTAGTGAGTGGTTAGCACATTCAGCTAGTAGTGGGAGGATATGTATTTCGAATCCTGCTAAATGCACGTTTGAGTTTTCTTGTTTCTCTCTCCAGAAAAGCTAATAATCCCTACGGTGATGTCTGAACTAAAATATGATAGTTCATAACGCGTCACCACCTGTTTATAATCGACTGGTTTTCGTAGATATTTCCATTCGCCTTTTGAGTGGAAGAAATTATGCAAGACATTATCACACGCCCCTATGTATGTTTCCGTATAGCAAGGGGTTAGCAAGTCCAGCTAGCAATTGGAAGATCTGTGATTCGAATCTCGGGGAGAGGATAGCTGTTGCTTCACATTTTTGCTAAAAAAAAAAAAAAAAAAAAAAAAAAAAAAACCTATTAATCTCTACACATGTGTTGCAAGGAAGTTTCAGTTGATATAACAGTGTAAAGGAAGGAAGTCGTACCTTTCACAGCACTTATTCTTTGGAGGTTGTTAAGGCTAGAAAAGGAAATCCGTATTTTTTTTAATCTCACTTAAATATACAGCTAACAACTTACGTTTGGTACCAAAAAAAAATGTAAAGTGTTTTACCAAAAGCATTGAACCAGTGTGACAAAGTGAAACTATCACAAAGAATTTCTTAGAAAGTACTGGTAACGTTGATTTAGGTGACTGTTCATGTTATCACATTATCTCGTTATTTTTATTTCTTTAATGGATGTTATAATTGATGATGATACTGATATTGATAATTTTATGAAAATGTTTTTATGTCCTTCCTTTTATATGTTGACATTAACCAGAATGCAGAATAGCTGAGTTTGTGTAACGCAAGTTGTTAGTATTTAGAGAGACTGGTAAACAGTGCTGGAAACGTTAGGTAAGTGATTTATTTATTAACCTGTTAAAAGTTTGTAAACCTTGTCTTGTACCGTTAAGTCTGTAAACCTTGTCCTGAAAAATGTATTTTATCGAAAAGCTTGACACATTGAAAAGTTTCTTTTGTAAATAAGCGGCCTGCGTCTTTTACAGCTTCCCCTAGTATTTTATCGATAAAGAAAGCAAATGGAGGCTGAGTAAGAAATGCAGTGTTGTATTACCATATCCCCAGATGCAACATATCCAAAGAATATGAAAGTCAGACCACCGCGGTTTTATGCAGATGTGGGTTTCAAGCTAAAGTTTTTATGCATCAAATCATTAATTTTCGGAAGAAGTTTCCTTATTGAGAAATATTGCATCTCAACCACCCAAATGGATTTTCCCTAACGCTATACAAGAAGGAATTTATGCTAATATGGAATCATTTATTTTTTGTAAACAAAATAGCGCTGAAAGATGCGTATTACCAGATTTCTTAACTCATTAGCTTATAAGGTTATTCGTGGTGTAGTGGTTCTGCACACTGGGCTGGTATTCCAGAGGTCCGTGGTTCGATTCCCGGCGAAGCGTTTCTAATTTATCATCTCTCCGGACTTCAAAAAACTCCTAATGACTCTACAAGCTTAGAGCTGTGATATTGTACCACAAGAGCTTAATTGCAGTAATTAACTAATCAAACATTATATTTATCTCTGAGACTAACGTTAGATTAAGCATTACATTTATGTTTGAGATTAACGTTGTATTAAATGTTATATTATGAATGAGTTTTTTTTTTTTTTTGAGACGAAAATACGTAATTTAACAAAATAAAACTCAACATATTTGATGAAGTCAGGAGAATTAAATTCACTGACAAGGATTAGAAATAATGATTTTTCAGAGTTTCGTAATAAGTAATTGTAATACTAATAAGTGATTTCGTAATTCTTTGGTTAATAAGTTACAGACTATTTTGTGTTTTAATTCACATCAAATATTGCTTTGCCAGGCATCGTGGCCAGAGGCCTTGTGGTCAGCGGTAGCTTTTTCATGTACCCATTCCAGATAAGGCACGGATGTCTGTGACTGTAGTGACTATGCTGAATAGAGGCACATGGAATCCGTCAGGTGAACCTGTCGGGAGGTTACTGGAAGGGGAAGAACAGTGCCAGACTTCCGATTCAGTACCCAGTTCTCGATCAAAGTTGAATCCAGCTAATGTTATATTGCCACTACTGCTGCTCAAAGGCTATGCGTACCTTTTGTCCCATCCATTGGAACGAAATTACTGTAAATGAAGTTTGAATTTTTTTTATTCTAAGCACTTTCAACACTTTATTATTATCAGTTATGAGAAACTTTCAGTTATTAAAGATCTAGTATTACTATAGACAATTACTCATTATTCATCTAATACTTCGCTACGGACTTTAGGCATTTCAGCGTATGTGCCTGGTAGCATTATTCTTAGATGTTTGTAGGCATTACAGACACTGCAGAGTTAAAATGAATTTATTTATTTAAAGGAAAGGAAAATTATCCAGATATCATTTACGACGGAAAGGGAATTTTTACTTTTTACACGAAAAAAGCGAGTTGGAGTCCGTTTCTCATTTCGAGCTTATAACTAAAATAAATTTAAATGTTAGGCTGTTGGTAGATTAAATTAGAGTTCTTTTGAAATCTTTTAGCGTTGCTTTTTACTAGTCCAAATAGTGAATGCGATCCAGTTTCGGGCATTTCTTCCTTTAAGCAGATAGCACTCATGCACCTTGCTATATTCAAATAAACTAAACTAATCGACTAGTCCAAATGAAAACAAAGACTAAAATGTTGAACTTTGATCAAAGATTTACAGTGTTTTCTCCAATACTTATGATTTTTAAGATTTATTCAATACCAAATTTGATTTTACATTTTTGAATAAACTAGACACAACTGATTATAACTCGATAAATACGAAGCAAAATAATCATACTAATTAAACAAAAGTCCATTAGCTTTAAATTATAAGACTAGCAGAAACA